TCTCCAGATTAAAGCACCGACAGAAATAAGACCACCTCAGCTCACTTCTTTGCACAAAAGGACTCAGGACTCTCCGCAGGAAACACGGGCACTTCCAATACAGTACAGAGAGCAAACCTGAGCAACTCCATTAAGCAGAGGTGGGATTTTAGCCTCCCAGACAAGCCCCCAGCTAAAGCCACAGCTCTTGCAGCACCAGGTGGAAGCAGCAGAGAAGGCTCCAGTGCTCACACCCGTTAACAGAGACACCAGCCGCCACCAGGCACCATAACAGCCCATTTTGAGGGCTGCACCTCTGAGTGCAACAGCACATTTTTAACTGCGTCTTTCTCTTAAGGCCAGAGAAGAGACTTTGGAGCCCTTTCCTCACACTTACTCATGAATAATAACACTCTCAAGTGGAAGAGTTAAAAATTCAAAAGACAGCCTGTAGTCTTCCAAACAAAAGAGATTTTCCAGCTGGCTAACACATACCAAGGTACCTAAAAAAAACAAAACAAAACAAACCTCTTAATATACTACATTTCCTTTTCTTAGGCCCTAACTCCCATTCCCCCAAGGCACAGCCCATCTCCCTGGGGGCTCTTGCTGCCAGCACTCTGCAGCCCCCAATACCTCTGCCTCCTCCACCTGTTTTGGGTTAAAAGGCCTCAGCTGGCCCCCACCTCCTCCCCAGACCTCAGGTGGGAGAGCAGGGTGGGAGCAGGCTCTCGGCACCTTGCTCTCCCTGCAGTAGCCCCTTAGAGGAGCTGGTTCCTCCTTGCTAGTGCTGGAGCCAGCGAGGCCAGGCTGTGGAAGCACCCTCACCGCAGTCCCCGCCGGGGCTGCTGCGCAGGCAGAAGCTGCCTCTCTGCTCACGGGGCCAGGTTTGCGCTGCTACCCTGGCTCAGGCAAACCCCAAAGCCTCCGCAGCCGCCTCTGGCACCCCGGCTGCGTGCACAAGGCTCTGGCTTCTCCAGCCTCCGGTGCTGAACAACATCCGCCCCCTTTCCTGGGTCACAGCAGAGCCCGAGTCGGAGACTGCAAAAGAAAGGGGTAGATGTTGCGTGCTTGCTGTGCCCGGGCCAGCTCTGGCTGGGAGGGAGCTAACGGGCTTTGTTCCTCGTCAGCAGAGCAGCGCGGACCCTGGCGCGCTGCCGTGGGAAGCAGCGCTGCACCGTGCGCGTCATGGGGCAGCTCCGGCGCCCTGGGCCCCGGACGAGTCCAACGTCCCAACCCACCCCGGCAGGCGCTGCTGCGCCGCAAGCAGAGGCGCTGAGGGCCGCTCGCCTCCGGCACGGCGAGCGTGCAAACCCCGCCGCCTCCGGCGTGATGAGTGTGCGAAACCTGGTGGCCCCGGGATGGTGAGTGTACCAGCCCCGAGGCTTCCAGCACGGTGAGTGTGCAAGGCTTGCCCCTGCCAGCGTGGTGAGGCTGAGTGTGTAAGGTACACCTCTGCCAGCGTGGTGAAGGTGAGTGTGCAAGGCGCACCCTTCTGCCAGCATGGTGAGTGTACAAGATGCAGCCTTCTGCCAGCACGGGGAGGACGAGTGTGCAAGGTGCCTCTCTGCCAGCACAGGGAACGTGTAAGGCGTGCCTCTCTGCCAGCATGGTGAGGGTGAGTGTGCAAGGCGCCTCTCTGCCAGCACAGCAAGGCTAAGTGTACAAGGCCCCGCTCTGCCAGCATGGCGAGTGTGCAAGGAGCCCCTCTGCCAGCACACTGTAGGTGAGCGTGCAAGGCACCTCTCTGCCAGCACAAGGAATGTGCAAGGCGCACCTCTCTGCCAGCATGGCGAGGGTGAGTGTGCAAGGAGCCTCTGCCAGCATAGTGAGGGTAAGTGTGCAAGGCACGCCCCCGCCAGCACGGTGATTGTGCAAGGTGCCTCTCTGCCAGCACAGCACAGGTGAGTGTGCAAGGTGCACCCTTCTGTCAGCACAGCGAAGGCAAGTGTGCAAAGCACCTCTCTGCCAGCACGGTGAGTGCGCAAGGCACACCCTTCTGCCAGCACGGGGAGGACGAGTGTGCAAGGCGCCCCCTGCCAGCACGAGGAATGTGCAAGGCCCCTCTCTGCCAGCACAGCAAGGGTGAGTGTGCAAGGCCCCTCTCTGCCCGCACAGCACGTGTGCAAGGCGCCTCTCTGCCAGCACCGTGCGGATGAGTGTGCAAGGCCCCTCTCTGCCAGCACAGCGACGGTGAGTGTGCACGGCGGCCCGGCCT